TGGCTGCTGGAGATGAGCCTAGGCTTGACCTAACCATGATTCCAAGGACTGGCACTTCTTTTTTACCCCCAGTTTGTAGAGATCCAGACCTTCTCTTCCTGATTGTCAAGAAAATTAAGTTATTGCTGAATTTGGGAATCTAGGCAGCACCAGCTTACTTTTTCCCTGCATTTCTCTGGCATAATTTCTGGGATATTTTCCAAATCATCACAGAAAGCAGGAGGAATGAACCGGCAGCTAGTGAAAATTTTGACAACCTTGTTTGCATTTTTCTTAGAGACAAACCACTTCAGGTAGGTGATACAACTCTATGTGATGATATTTGTCAAAAGGTTGTGGAAATCATAACTGTAAAGATACTACGTCACATTAACCTAGTTTGTTTGCTATATTTGAGGGTATTTCATGTTCATTCTATATAGGCTATCCCTTTTACATTTGGAGACTCGTTGCTTGGTAACAAACACAAAAAATAATAATCTCAAGTTTGGGTGATCTATTTTCCTTTTCTCTGATTCAAAGACATGCTTTTTCACTGAGTATCAATATAGCTAAAGACATTTCCTTCAGTTTTTCCTCCGAAATGCAAATTCTCTGCTCCCACTGGAGCTTGTTTAGGAAGTTGCTTTGGTTCCCTCCTCTTCAAGCTTTGGAAATGATTGAACCAGTTTTGTCAGGGATGTAGTTATTTGAAATTAGAGAACCTGTCCTCTGATTTTGGGAAAACCTTGGATCAGACCAGTATTATGCTTACTTCTAGTACCAGTACATGTGATTGTTGTTTCTAATTTTTTTTAATGTTTCATGGGCTTTTGCTTCAGCTATTGACTTTTTGCGGTACAAAGCAAACAGGTCAGTCTTATTAACCAGAACACCATTTTATCTGAGATTCACTATTATACTGTACGCTGCTGTGTATCTACATATGAAGTGTTTTTATATGAGTAATGAGGTATATATATATAGTGACAGAGTGAAATAGTGTTTATATTCATGAGTCTGGCATCACAACGCAACTCGTAACTAGTGGGCTCTGAATGAAACCAGAAGTAATTTGTACAGGAACATCCCAAATAAATGCACTGGATTAATTTTCCAGATTTTATTATCTTAACTGAATGTTTTTAATATTTAAGTGGGGAATATAATCTTTTATGTATTAAAAATTAAAGATATTTTGTAAGGGTACCATGTCATTGACAAAAGCAAAAAGAAGCAACCACCCCCTGTAAACGGAACCTGAAAAAACGCGGGGAATTACAGAGAATTTACTAATGCCTTGCCTTTTAACAATTCCAATGCTTTTATAAAGGGATAAAGGATTTGATATTTGCTTCTCATTTCAGATGCTCACATGTATATCTAGTTTGTTTATACTAGTGTATAGATGCACAAAAAAACCCCAAGGAACACTCCTGAAACTGAGTGGTTGCCTTTGGGCAAATATTTAAACAGAAAGTGGCTAAGAAGACACAGTCATAGAATTGCTCTTGATATATCTCAAATATTGTATTGAAACATAGATACAATGAAATTGGTTATTTAGGAATCAAGATAATGCTGTTTATGATGAAATCGGTGGCTCTGCAAACCCAAAATGACAATTTCATTCTAGTCACTTTTTCTCTAGGGAACAACCTAGGGAAACTCCTAAATTCTCTTTCTCTGCAATATTTAGTGTGCTTGCAATACATAATATGCTATGTACACAGCGTTTTGCAGGCATGATACAGTACCAGAAGTTTGCTCTTAAATCCTGAAAACAATGATGTGTTCCAAGAGCTTGCATATAAATACCAGCTGGTGATACTGATAAATTTTATTACTCGATGTTCATCAGTGAAGAAAACCCTGAGATCAGATGTGACTGACTCCAGAACCTTTTTCGCCGTGTTGGGGAAGAATCCAGACATTCCCTAGCATGATTTAAATCTTTTTGGGTAGCATCTGTAAAGAACAATTTTTTTATATATATATCCTTTCCAACATTAACAAACCCAGTATTTTTCAGTATTGCTTGGTGAGTGTTGCCAGCTATTGTTTGGAAGTTTAAGACCACCTTAAACCAATGTTAACATACAGTTTTAAAAGCATACATGTAATGAAAGTGATGATATGAAATAGGATATCAAAGTCCCTGTAAGATTGTTCTATATGTTAAGATGAAGAGTAAATTGAATCTTCTAAAGTCTTAAAGCTGTAATGAATTTCTGTTTAAAGCTGAGGTTTTTTTCTGAACAGCAAACTGTGCCCATGCATACTACCTTAAGCTCATTTTTATCTGTAGAATAAAGTTTTCAGATGAAAAATTGACGATATTGTTTTATAAAAATATTAATTGCTACATTCATTGAATTGAGTCAATTTTATTTAGTGCTATGATTTATCCATGACTTGAATACAATATAAACTAAATATTAGCTAATGGTGGCTAATAATTTATTTAGGACGACTTTCTGTAAAGAACATGATTCAAGATCTGGAAAACCCCCCTCACAGACCCTGTCTCCTTCAGATTTTTTGGACAAATTGATGGGAAGGACATCAGGGTATGATGCTAGAATCAGACCAAATTTTAAAGGTAAGTTTTTTAAAAACTTCTGATTAATTAATTGATTACACTTTTCGATAAATTATAGTTTTGAGGGTTTTACCTCTGAGTTCTGATTCTTTTTTCAATAACTTCAGTTATCCAGTGTGATAGTGTAATGGAGATCAGTTGATCCATGGGGAGGACTAGGAAAGCAGCATAGGTAATAAGGGTCCAGAGCTTTAAAACCCTCGTCACATGACAATAATGTTTAGCTGTCAGATGCTGCTTCTGAAGACCTTACTAATTCCATGTAGTAAATAGGATTCGAGGTTCCACACTAAAAGCAATTGACATTACTTGTTCCTGAAATTTTTAAGGCATGAAGGCAATATCTTTAACACTTCCATGCTGAACGGTCATCTTCTTTATAGCAGTGTTTGAAGAAAAGGTCTATGCTTTCATTCAACTTGGAGAAAGTAAAACCTTCCTCAAAGTGGGGAGAAAGGACTCAAAGTATGCACACAGCAGATTTTATCCTGAGAATGTTGCATGAATGATAAAAAAACAATTTCTCAGGATCCCTATAAAATTTAAAAAACATATTCTGTTTGTCCTTTCCATGACTCCCCCCTTTTCTTCCAAAATTTGGACTGAGTTGCAGAGAATTACCATCACCATTCCAGCACAAAGGCGGCTGTGGACTGGAGGCTGCTTTTGCAACCATAACTATTCACAGCAGGTTTTCCTTGCTGGAGTCCTGTAAATCCCTATAGAAGTGAGAACCGAATGTCTTGTGGCATTAAATTAAAAGAGTCAGGAGAGAAGTTTTCATTGTAAATATTTAGAGCTTTTAGAGAGCCCTATAATTCTACAAGAAGTGGCTCTTCTATGCCACTTTAGAGCTCAAAATGAGGTTTTACTTTGATAAAATCCTTCCTTCCTTAATAAATCTGATGCCAATGTACATTTGCACTCATATCTATTGGCTTTGGTGACCGAAATGCATGTTTTCCTGTATTGAGCCTTGTTAGCAGTGCTGTGAAAGTTGATACCGACTAGAAAAAAACAATCATTTCTTAGCCAGTAAATGAGCTGTTAGGAAAGAAGCAGCTCAAATGTCAATGAGGAAAGTGTTTAATTACATTTAGATCAAAGATCAGTTTCTTTTCTCTGCTCCACATGCACAAATTACAAGATTTGGAACAAACTCTTTTTTGACTGCTTCCTGTGCCTGAGTGAGGAGGAACCCAGTATGGCCTTCAGATCCAAAGGTTTGAAGCTGGCAAGTTAAAAAATCTCTAGTCAGGGAAGTCTTAAGTTTTAAATTTAGAACAGTTTTCAAAGTGTTTATTGAGTTCCTGAACTGGAGTCCACATTAGCCTGTAGTAAGTAATATTGCACTAGGCTCTCACGTTCATTTTGTGCATAAGTATCAGTGAAGTTTTAGAGAATGCAAATGAAGGCAGAAATTGCCGAAACTGAGCAAGGTGCAATTATTAAGAAATTATTTGTATGGGCTGGACATTAAAAGAAGACTTCTGCTTCATCTCCTGTAGTTCAGATGCAACCAGTAAGAGTAGCAGTCCCTGTACATAGGACAACTTAAAGGCAGCTCTTTATTTCTCCCCAGTACATGTCTAAAACATTTTTATGAAAAAGGCAAGAGGAGACAGATTCACAGCTTTGCTCCCCTGATGTTCAAGTGCGTAGAGCAGGTATGGTGTCCACGATGTTGTGTGGTGTGTGTTGAGCTGTTTGACAGACACTGCTCTCTTCCAAGTCCCATGGTTTGTTCATGTTCCCAAAGGGCAGCTGCTGCCTGATGACACCTATGAGCCCTTAATGGCAAAGAATCTGTAATTTCTTGGTTTTGATTTTTTCATTAAGTCACTTTTGAGAGCAGGGCAGTACTTAGCAGTAGTTTGAACGAATAAACAGATCTTCAGTGTTTTTTCATAACTTCACATCTCTGACCTCTCCCAGAGCTCTCAGTCTCCTGGTGAGGGGTCAGAAAGGTTTTCTTGCTCTTCACTATGTTCCTTTGAAGGGTATTTTGTATCTCCGAATTCAGAATTAGAGAGTTAAGTCATGCAGTTTTGAACTTCCCATCACTAGTCAAAACCTTGCCAGTTGATAGCCATTTGTGTTAGTTAATATGACGCACACCCATGTTCTAGTTGCCCAAGTCTCGTTAACTTTTTTAGAAAAATTGAAAATACTGTTCTATACTGCATATTTTTCCCTTTAAAGAATATGAAGTACAGCTGCAAAGAGGTAAAAATATTTTTTTCTTGCATTGAGTTAGGTATCATAGAATCATAGAATCATAGGATGGTTTGGGTTGGAAGGGACCTTAAAGATCATCTAGTTCCAACCCCCCTGCTGCAGGCAGGGTTATCCTCCACTAGAGAGTGTATATAAAGATATTTTTTTATACTGAGTCTTTATTGTGACCACAATACAAATTGTTCCAGTTTCTAACTTTCATTAATCTGAGATCTTTTGGTGGATATGGGTTATTATACAATATTGATATTCTAAATCATGTAGAAGAATGGATGTATGAAATGTTGAGTGACTACCCAATTCAAAACACTTTTTGTATTTTAAGGCAAGAACTTTTAAACATAAAAGAGGTCTGCAGGAACAATGGTTTAAACTAGGAATATTTGTTTCCTCTGTTTTACAAAAGGTGTTGTGAATGAAGATAGATGTGCTACTACTCATGAATTTGTCTAGCTTTTTCTGCTTTAGACCAGTTACATTGCTTTCTCTGAGTCCACCGTAGGCATTTTAAATACTCAGAAAAGTCTGATTTCATGGACGTGCAACTGAGTAGAACCCATATATCTTATACCACTGTGTGGTGGGTTGTCCTTGGCTGGATGCCAGGTGTCCACCAAGCTGCTCTATCACTCCCATCCTCAGCAGGATGGGGGGTGTGTGTGTGAAAATAAGACGGAAATAAACTCATGGGTCAAGATAAAGGCATTTTAATAAAGCAAAAGCAAAGGTCACACGTGGAAGCAAAGGAAAACAAAAGATTTATTCTCTACTTCCCATCAGCAGGTGATGTCCAGCCACCTTCCAGGAAGCAGGGCTTCAGTACACATAGTGGTTGCTCCAGAAGAAAAACATTGTAAATAACAAATGCCCCCTCCCCCTTCCTCCTGCTTTCCCTCAGCTCTTCTTGCTGAGCAGACGTCATATGGTATGGAATGTCCCTTCGGTCAGTTTGGGCCAGCTGTCCTGGCTGTGTCCCCTCCCAAGGTCTCGCCCACCCCCAGCCCACTGGTGAGGGGGATGTTGGAGAGAAGCCTTGGTGTGTGCCAGCGCTGCTCAGCAGTAGCCAAACCCTGGTGTGTCACCAACACCTTGCTGGCTGCCGATACACAGCACAGCGCTGAGAGGGCTGCTGTGGGGACAACTGACTCCATCTCACACAGACCCAATACACCCTGATTATACAATAATTAAACATAATTTTATGATTAGTCTGAATTACTTGAAAACAGCAGCTATTTGATTAATTTGTAGAAGAAAGGCTACACATTCTAAAGAGAGAGGAAAATGCTACTTACTGGAACAATGTGTTTTATCCAGATAAAGCATTTCATCATTAGTTACTGCTTTTCCCTAACTTGCTCTTGTGAATTACAAAATTCAGGAAGACAGTTGGAGAGCAACAGGTGAATATATAAACATTTAGACATCAACAACAGTATTTTGTTTGTTTGCTTGTTGGTTTTTTTTTTCAGAAGTACTGTATACTGAAAGATCCTTTCTTTTTTGTATCTTTCTGTTTTATACATCATTTGAAAGCAGAGGAGCAGATTTCTAGTTCTTCTTGACACACCAAGTGATCGGATACAAAATGACCAGGCACAGAGAGGGACTGTCCCCCTGATGAACAGCCAGAGAGAAGTGCCAGAGTGACAGATCTCTAAATTGCCTCTCTTTAATCACTGTCAGATACTTGATACATACTTTTTAATCTTAAACTTATCTTTTATTGAATATTAATAGGCTAATAATTTGTATAAGGACACAGAGGGGAATACTTTTAAATGTAAATACAAAGACTATGATCTAATACTAATTGAAGCCCCTGAGAGTCTTTCTGTTGACAGCAAACATACGCTCATGGTCCTATGAGTTGACTTGAAGCTTCTTCTTCAATTAGAACATCAGTTGAGCATGGTTTCTGTTAAGTAATAAAAAGTGAAACCTGCACGATGTACTTTTTACCTGATTAATATTAATGTTATATTTTTCATGGTAAAAGCCAACAACAACAAATCAGAGTGATGTCTCGTAGTTTCTCCACTGCTCACTCTGCTTTCCTCAACTAAACCAGAAATAGCAGTGTAGGGCACCTGTGTTATAACACTAGCCAAGAATGTGCTCTCTCACTGGTAGAAACCAGGGATGGTGAAGAGGTATCTTAGATTAATGTGTATTCTGCTCTCTCAAGAGGACTGTGTGCAATGCCATGATACAATGGATCAATCTACACTTTAATCATGACACGAGACGAGGGGCTAATGGAAAGTCAGCTTGAATTTAAAATTTCCTAGTAGGGGCTGGCCTTCAGAGGTTACTAAATCATTTCCACTTTTTAACAACTTCATCTTCTAAAACCACTTAAAATCTAAACATTAGCTAGAAATGATCAGAGAAAACTAGTTATCTATAGGCACTACTATATCCTTCATGCCCATACTTTAAGTAGTAGACTAGCTGTCATGCACTGAGTGGAGAGAAGGGCAGTTTGTCACCAAGAGCTCCAGAAGCGTGTTATCTTTTGGTATAGAAAATGTTTACAATGAAGATGATAGTGATTTTTCTCTTGTAATTAATTTCATTCTACATTTTAAGTGCATTATTTCCAATTCAGTCATTATTTCCTAAAGAATATTCTGATTTTTATGGAGTTACATGGAGGCTTGCAGCAGCAGTGCCCATTAATGTTACCCTCATTACTGGATGATGCAATGCAGTGTGAATTAACTTACTCAAGAGCTGCTGTTTCTGAACTCAGAGAAGTC